ACTTGAAAGTTGAAACTGATTCCGAAGGATGTGATTGGAAACTAGAGACTGGATGTGACCCTTACAAACTAGGGTTAGGCCCACTTCTCTGTGTGCAAACAAAGGATATTCAAAGGGAGTTCTGGCATTTGTAAATTTTGTATCTCTATTATACTTTTTCATCACACTACTAATCAATTAGTTGATCATCCAGCTAATTAAGAGATGGTGCGTTGTCAATCACACAGTAATGATTTGAAGTGTATCGCTTTTTCAAACATATATTAGAATAAATATTCACCATCACCTAGGCTAATCCTCTCTTGCCATCGTAACTTCTGCGTAAAAATGAGGGAATATGTGACCAGACCTTCACACTAAACCACCCAAAAACCTGCCTACAACTCCAACACCACCACCAATTTTCTCAACCTGATTCCGAGCTCCATCAACATTCATCTTTAGGCTTCCCCTTGGCAGCCCGTCCTACTTACTCGGAATAACGCCATGGGTTCTATCCTGTGAAGGAGGAGAAACAACTGTAGAGATTCATGTAGCCATCTCAGTTGTAAAAAATACCTCTCATGTCCCCATTTTACCAATCTTACCATTGTTTAAAAAATAGAAAGACATATGTATTGTCGTGACGAAGCTATAACTATTAGCTGGTCCTCTTTTAAAGAAAAAAACAAGTTAATTATATTTTTTTTTTCAAAAATAAAAAATTAAACATGCAATCTTCTCTCCACTCTCTTCCTCTTCAATAATCATCATTCTCTTCTCCCTGAGAATTTTTTGCATGCTAGCATGAGTGCGAGTGTCTGATATTATATGATTGCTCTACACTTGGTAATTGATGTAATTTCTCTAAAAATTATGCTTTAAAATGTTAAAATCCCACTCTTTTCCTAATTCAATTTTCTCAACTCTTTTGCAAGAGGTAGACTTAGTATTGTTCAGTTCATGTAGAGTCGACTCTAGGCTAAGTTAAACATTAAAGTTCATCTCTATAGCATTATTTATGTTGTATAATTGTACTTATAAATCAATGTCATGTAATATGTGACATTTTCTTCCTTTCTAAGAAAAAAAGTTGCCTACTTAACATTATTAACTAGCATTGGTACATAAAAGTGATAAATTCAAAGTTCTTCTCTTTTTCATTCCTTGTCCATTTTGCCCAATATTTTTTGTACGACGGAAATTCGGATTAGGAATATATAATTGACATCAAAGAAAAGAAAGGTCTAACTGTTGGAGTACACATTCTTAATTTGGTGCACTAAAGTTAGTATAATATTGGTGAATCAAGTGAAGAGTATGAAAAAAGAGATTCGAATCCTCGGTGAAAAAAAGTCTCCATAGCAGTTCCAATGAGGGTTTGATCCAGTCGACCACCTAATATCTAGTACTAAGTTGCTGAAAAACAGTTTCATAATGTATTTTAAGGATCTGAACCGTCTATCTTTTAGGTTTTCTCTCAAAGATCATGTCTACTAAAAACTACCTAAATCTAAAACCATATGATTGTTGAATTAAGGGTTTAGGGTCACTTTGTAAAACCATATTCGTCTATTTTTTTCACTACAAATGAATGTCTTTATAGTTTTTGAATTTGTCTAATTTTTTGCAGAGATGATCTATGAATAATATTCTAGAAGATAGATGGTGCAATCGTTAAAATACATTATAGAGTGATGCCCCAAAAAAACTATGTGTAAAAAATTATGTAAAAAAATAATGTCACAGATTCCTATATATATTATCATAAAGGAGCCAATAACTTATGGAAGTAAATCTGAGTCAAAAGAAACTACGAAAGGAGGGAGCCAAGAAAGTTTTGGGGGCCAAAGAGAGGAATATCAAGCCGTCACTCATTCTCCAACATCATTCTCACCAAACAAAATTCCCTCATTGGAAATAAACCCTAACTCTAGAATTCACAATCATTTGTATTATCTTTCCTTGGTTTTTTGGATGGATATTCATCATATATAGTTCGTTTAAATAATCTTACACGTCGCCCTCATCATGACGTGTCCCTGTGGTATGTGATTTCACATGTCTCCCGGATTCTCCCGTTAATTTAGGTTTAAGGTCATGATTAAAAGTTAATTGGCCTAAACATGACCCTAACCTATGATTTTGCACTCAATGTTTAGGATTTAACTAATTCATTCCATGCAGTCTACGTTTTGAGCAAGAAATGTCGGGACCCAGCTTGACCCATCATTACCCTTTGCTTGTTTTTTTCAAAGAAATATTGATCCCCCTTGAATATATTTAATTTTCCTTCTTTGATCAAATCATTATAACAAAACAAATTTGAACTCAAAATTAGTTTCTTCGATTATTTCTATGATTCTACGAATGAGTTCGCATACAAATTATATAATCACGTTTATTAGATAGTATTTCAACAAACGTGTAAATTTTATGTATCTGAAAAAATTTAATGTAATTAATCACTATTTTCCCCGACAGGATCACAAATTAAACCACCATTTTGGTGACTGTCAGCATCGTTTGTGCTTCCATGCCACATACATATAGGTAGAATATGACATATCAACCGAAGAGGTCCCATTTTCACAAGCAATATTCTGCTGATGTGGATTTCAAGGGTTTAACTGTCCTTTTAATCAACATAAATGTTCGATCCGTAAGGTTTTTTTTCTTTTAAATTTTACTATTATTAAGAGAATGGGAAGTTTAAAACTATTAAAATAATTTTAATGAGGCGAGAATTTTAAACTCGAAAAATATGAGTAGAAACTTAGCATCTTATCAATTAGAATATTAGACCACTTTTTTTTAGTCACACTCACTCAAATTACAAAAATTTTAGCTCCATTATTTTTTTATTTCGATGTCTTCCTGCTGGCAAAAGCCATATATATGCTGATTGGTGACCCCAGGTCCAGTCATCATCTTCAATATTATTAGCAGAACAATTATCATTAGGATAATACATGTTGTGACAAATACCCTTTTGTCCACACTTCAATTATTATTGGCTTTTTATACACTATGTAGACATCGAAATTTCCTCACCCAAGAAACAAAAATAACAAATCAAATTAATTAATTTAGATAAGCATAACAGTATGTCTAATGGGCCTATTTCCGCCATAGATCATTTGTGGGTACCACAACAGGAACAATCTCGTGACAATAAATCACACCCGTCCAAAAATATTATTCTGTGATCGAAAATTGAGCAGATGGAACTCTTCTGCGTTCATGATTCATTAATTTTACTTTCTTTTTCTTTTTCGGCGGCTATTAATCGTATTTTTCTCTTGATATGTCTATTTTCGATCCCTAATGAATGAAATTGTTCACGTGCCTTTGGTAATTATATTGGGGTTTAGCTGATTTAATAAAAAATTACATGTCACGTTATTTTCGTATCAAAATTAGGTATAAGAAAAATGTTAATTCTTGTGCCAATATAATAAAATATTGTATACAAAACATAGAGTGGCGGAGAGTTCTCTTTTGAGAAAGTCTCCTTAGCATTTATCTTAAATTCTAGTTGCAAATTGCATGGCCGGACCAATTAATTAATATTAATTACCATTATTATCAAGAGAAAGGAGATTCTCAAAAGTTAAGGGAACTCTCTCAGAGTAAGACTCTTTGTCTTCTCACCATTTAACGTCAATTTTAGTGCTAATATTATAAAATATTGTACCAAAAACATAGAGTGACGGAGAGTCTACTTTTGAGAAATTCTCCTTAGCATTTCTCATAAATTCTAGTTGCAAGTTGCAATTTGCATGGCTGGACCAATTAATTTATATTAATTACCATTATTATCAAGAGAAATGAGATTCTTAAAAGCAAGACACTCTGCCACTTCATAGTTTTGGTGTAATTTCCGTGTTAATATTATAAAATATCGTACCAAAAACTGACGGAGAGTCTATAAAAAAATTCCACTTTGAAAGAGTTTCCTTAGTATTTCTCTTATTATCAAATACTTGTTTCATAAGATTATTAATAGTTAATGATATTTTAATTATAGGAAGTCATGTTTTCCACAAACGTCATTAGCATAAGACAATGCAGAAAAACTTTATTATATGATTGTTACTAAGGAGGCATGCAGCCACTAATTAAATGCTCTTGAACTTTCAAAAAAAAAAAATATATATATATATATATATATTTTTTTTTAACTTCAAAACTTAGAAGACCTTGAATTTCGTACTAATTGGATTATTCAATTATCCCAAATTTAAGATTTTCAAATGGAGACAATCATATACTCATTACATATTACGGACCACATTTCTAGCGAAGAATATAAGGCTCGTGGTAAAACTTGTGTTTTATTTAGTAACTATAGAAAGGTAGATTACAATGATTTTTTAGATAAATATTTAGACAATCGAACCCCATTTTAACTAGCAATTGTACACATATTATACATGTGCTTATTAAAATTTTGAAAATGAAAAATGAAATTTATAAAGAGAGAAAAATAAAATGGTCACTAAATCTTTTAGGTGACAACTTTCAAACTATTTTTCGTCGCTGAAAAGGTTCATATCTTTAGCGAATATTTCTAGATAACTGTTTTGTCACTTTTTTTTTTTTTTTTTGAGAGAAAATCATGGAAGAGAAAATGAGGACAACTGATATTATTACCTAAATGTGAGGCTTTGAAAAAAAAATTATTTTGTCTTTAATTTATTATGTTGCTCATAACTTTTATTTTTGTTATTTTTCTTTTGTTTTGTTGACAGGGTTAAGTCTTTTCACTCTCTTTTGGTAGTTTAAAGAGGGTTTTTGTTAATAAGTAGTTTAGATAAAAGGAGGATTTTGTAGGTTTTCAAATGAAATTGTTTGGCTCTTTGTCCATACATGTGGCATCATTGCTATGGTACCCTTGACCCCCATAACAAGATTTCTTGTAACTTTGGTTTTGCTTGAAACTTGCTACTATAACTAACTAGTTACAAAAGCATGACCTTTGCTATATAGAATGATATTGTAATAAGAAATTCTAACCGGCTAAAAAGACATTATTATCCTAATTTACCATATAAATCTTAGCCAACCTTTGGCCCTCTATAAATTAAATATTTCCAACAAAGGAATCAAAAGCCTCTTTTGAATTCAGCTACATTCCAGCTCCCCACCATACATAACCCAAAATTTTCTTCCAAAGATCCAGGTATACTTCAATATTTCAGAGAAGAACTAGTGCTTCTTTTCTGTTGCTAGCTACCAACCCAAATTATCCTTTATCTCTATTGATTTGAGCTCTCTCCTTATTAGTTAACAAGATTAATTTTAACTAATATGGGGCTGAGAGACATTGGAGCCACACTGCCTCCTGGGTTTCGGTTTTACCCCAGCGATGAGGAGCTGGTCTGCCATTATTTGTACAAAAAGATCACAAATGAAGAAGCTTTGAAGGGTACTTTGGTTGAAATTGACTTGCATATCTGCGAGCCATGGCAACTTCCTGGTACGTATTTATTACGTTAATTGATTACTATCCTCTATGTGTAATCACTTTACTAATCTCCTCCGTTGATTCTTCTTCGTTTCTTGAATCTTTTCACTTCTCCTTCTTTATCTTTTGCATCATCATGGATTCAAGTTGATGAATAGGGTCATGGTTTTTTTTAGTACTTTTCAGAAAAATAACATTGACCATTTAAAAGATAGATGAAATTATCTTTTATTTTCCAAAGACAAAGATTTGTTTTCTTTTCCCGTTGGAAAGTACAAAGATTTGTTTATGTTGTGTTGTTTTGAGTCATGGTGGATGCCCAGATAAACAGAAAGTTGACTGAGTTTCGAAAAAGATCAGAGAGAGAGAAGATGGCATTTTCTTTCTATATTTTTATTTCCTTCAATTATATATATATATATATATATATATATATATATACTAGAATTGAAAAAAAAAATAGGAGACTTGAATCCATAATATTTTCAGCTCCAAGCTTAAGCATATACCATGTGGTTTTACTCGAGTAAAGTTTTTTCAGATGCCCCGTTTCTTTTCACTTGCCCACTCTTCTGTAAGTCATTATATTTTTCGAGCAATGAAATCCTACTTTGACCTAAAAAGAAATTAACCTCCAACCATATACATTCTCATCAATATTGAGAGAGTTCTCAATCAAGGCATGTACATGTGTCTGTGTGCGCGCGCGTGCCCGGCCATGGTTGGGTAGATGCAAACTTTTGAGGAGGAACGACTTCTAAAATATGTATGGAATCTCTAGCTAGAGCAGAATATACAAACTAGGGATTCGTATTTTTTCAACCAAGAGAATGATATCATTAATTAACTAGCTAATACGTTTATTTACATCTCTTCGATTTGCCACAAAAATTAAGCACTATGCATGCTTGTTTCATTATCTTTGGTGTACTATTATACCAGTTTTATTACAAAAATAGCAGAGCTAGTATCCATATACGTAAGTATTCCGTATATCCTCTCTCTCTCTCTCTCTCTCTCTCTCTCTCTCTCGCATACACACAGCTGTGTTCATGCAAATCATGTGAGCTATATTCGATCATTTGATGCCTCCTGTCATGTGCAAAAATCGTCTCTAGTTGCCAAACATATCGAAACCGTCCATTTGAAGTGGGACCTTTGCTTTCTTTATAAACGGCCCAGATGTGTTCATGAATAGCAAGCTAGATGAAATCGATCTTCTGTGCTTAGTGTATTGTGGCTACTACTTTTAATTATCCTTATCCTTGTTATGTCGAATAGGAATCATCTACCTGCCATCCGTATGTCCCAATTATCATACAGTTTCCTTAGCCTGATCTGACAGGGTCTTCTAAATTATGTATTAATTGTGATATGCTCGAGATACCTTGAATAGTAATTAGCTTTCTTTACCTTCTTGGGCAAGTATCAGATAAGAAGGAATAATAGAAACTTTACGTTATTTCTAGGAGAGGAATTCTACTTTCTAATCCTTTGTATATCTTCTCAAATTCATCACGTAATGTAAGAGATAGACACAAATAAATATATAGCTAAAAATAGACAGAAATTTCTCTGTTTTCAAGTAAAAGTAAAATAAAAACTAGGTTACTTTTAAACTGAATGGTTAATCATGATTTTTCCCGTAGTGAAAATATGACACGTGGCATGCACTATAGTACTTCCCACAAACAACTATTCATTAAGAATTAATATGATTAAAGTTTCCTTGTTCAGATAATTAGAGTGGTTTTTGACTTTGAACCCTAATGGTTATGGTCCATAATTAGATGACGATGTTTCCTTAAATAATTGTATGTGACACCTACCACTCATCTCTCTTAGTCTTAAGCTTAGTTTCCTTAGACATAACTCATAGCTATGAAGATGATCTTGACTTGCCAACACATTTGCTAACTCAAAACAAGAAAAAAGGAAAGCAATGTTACATAACAAATGTCACTTTTCTTACTTTTGGCCAATTTCAAGGCCCTAATCTTACTGTTCTTTGTTGTATAGGACTTTTCTTAGTACTTTTTGTTTTGGCCATAATTACTCATTTTTAATGACAAGAATTTTGATAATGATATATACCTAATTAGATAATTAGCATTGCATGCATATATATATATATATATATATATATAATTACAAATGGTGTAAGATTAAGGATAATTGTGATTAATTAATGAAACTTTTGTAATTCTATTTTGGTTATTGTAGAGGTGGCCAAGCTGAATGCCAATGAGTGGTACTTCTTCAGCTTCCGTGACCGTAAGTATGCGACGGGGTTCCGGACCAACCGTGCGACGTCAACTGGATACTGGAAAGCAACAGGGAAAGATCGGCTGGTGATGGAGCCAGGAACTGGGGATATCGTAGGGATGAGGAAGACTTTGGTGTTCTATCGGAACAGAGCTCCTAATGGAATCAAAACTGGTTGGATTATGCATGAGTTCCGACTGGAGACCCCACATATGCCTCCTAAGGTAATTTCATCGATATTTCTAGCTAATACTATTCATATAATCCAATTTTCTTAATTATTATCATACTAATGGTATATTTATATGAAATCCTTCATCCACACGCCACAAATATTCTTCACGTTAAGATATAAAGTTAGTCACGTGAAATTCAAATCTGCACGTGACAATACCCCCATCATTTTATTATTATACCAATGCAACAGCCAGCCACTCCAGTGAACCTGTCTTTGAGTGAGAGATCATCAATCTCAGGAAACCTGAAGTACAGTATGGGCTTCAAGCATCATGCATGGAAAATTTTGGAACAGTCCAAAATTTAGAGGGAAAGTATGAGTTGGTGTATCATGTATCTAGCTAGAACTCATCACAATAACATTCACATGGTATACAATAAACCATTTCGAGCATGCATTTGATACACCACATTGCATGTTGATACGATACTTCAATTCACTCAAATTATCTTACTTGTACATATACTATATAACAAAATTAAATTATAATCATTCACATCACAACTATTGTTAGCAATTGCATATAATATTTCACTAAACATATATATTTTGTAAATAGTGCTTTTACATGCATTTAACTGCAATTTTTTTTCCTAATTAAGCTTACTATATTGTTCTTTTGTTTCACAGGAAGACTGGGTTCTGTGCAGAGTTTTCTACAAAGGCAAGGCAGCAGAGAACAGCACCAAACTCAACCCCCATGACTTTACGTTGGAGACCACACCATGCACTGTTCCTTTAAATTTAGTTCCACCTCCTCCAACTTATAACCAAACAATGCCTTGTGTGTACAACCAAAGCAACGCTTTCCTGAATCTCCTACAGCTTCCTCATCAGGAAAAATATACCAATTCCTCCGTCTCCGAATTAAACACAAAAAACGACGACGAATATGGGTTTCTATGGGACATGAATTTAGAAGAGGCAGCTTCGACAACGGGGTGGCTCCAAATTTGGATGAGATGGGATTTCAGGTGGATGAGAACAGCATGGATTTGCTCTAAATGAAGAAACATATTCCATACATACTCCATATTAGACAGACATCCAATTTGTTGATTTGTGACATATATTTATATTTGTGGTCTATATATTATATATTTGGCTTGATTGGAGAAAAGGTTAAAGGTTTGTGCATGCTTAGTCTATATATGTGTTTAGGGTTTTTTTCTCCTCTTGTATACAGTCCTGCTGGCATTTGTATAAGTATCATCAATAATATAATTCTTTATTACTGTCAAACATATATATTGTTGTTCGATTCTTTCAAGAAAGCTAAGATTTCAAACCATAAAACTAATTGATAATGTAAGAAACAACTCTATTCCCTATGGAATGTAGGTTAGGTTCCTTAATTTCCCAACATAATATTTACACTCTCAACATAATTCTCTTATAACACGTAATATTGAAACCATATATATCTCTTCATCAGTCGACAGTTTAGGTTTGCTGTATGCAGCAGTATATTATTCTTAATTTCTGGCACCATGGACCATGGCTGTATTGTCTGTTTATAATTATTGCTTGAAAACTTAAAACAATTTCCTTCTTTGTTCTGTATTGATTTTGACAGGACTATCATGAGCGTAGCCCTACACAATGAAAGGTTCATACAAAAAATATACAAACAGATAAGTGCTAGGACAATGAACTAATAAATTTTATTCAAATATATACTTGAAATCATACATGTGCGTGTGCGTATATATTATATATAAAACTTAACGACTCTGGTAAATTTGCACTTAATATATTATTTCTTCTAGTAAACCCTCAAGATAGTTCAGATTAACGTACATATATTCAACATATACACGCCAACAAATAATTATACATAACAGAACATCTGGTTTATCCCTCAGGAATCATCCTATATAGTTGAATATACGTATTATTAGCTAGTATTGGATGCTCCTCTTTCATTATCTTTTTGCTTTCATCCTCCTTCATATAGTGTCAAGAAGGTTGATGCGATTAGTCGTTCACTTACGCATATGCACGCATGATGTAGAAGCATCTGTTCTAAGAATCCCCGCCTAGGCGGCTAGGCGGCTGGTCACCGTCCTGAGTAGTCCTTAGACGTTTAAAAATTAAGAAAGTGCATCTAGACCCGCTTAGGCATCCGTCTCACCTACTTAGGCACCCACCTAGCCTACCTAAACCCTCCTAGGCACCCGACTAGGTCGCAACTCTCACTTAAACAGAAAATCAACAACTTTCATTTTACATTTTATTTTGTCAATAAAATGTAAGAGACTTGTTAAATACTTGGATGAGCACTTATTATATGCTTGTTTCTAGTGTTTTCAATATGTCCTAATACTTCATAATATACATGTCATTTTATTTTGCAATTGATATATCACAATACAATTACATGTGTTTTAATTATAAATAGGCATTTTTTATACAATATTATAATAAATCTACTTAAATATGTCTAGTCTGCCTAGACTCTCACCTAAACTCCACTTAACTGCCCGACTAATGTCTAACATCTTTTAGAACCTCTCATCTCCCGTAATAAGAACCACATGCAACAAGGAGTAAGAAGGAGTCACATGCTCATATGCGACTAACCCAAGTAAATGTCAAAGAATACTTTATCAAAACTTAAGAAAACATATGTGTTACCGCAGTTAGTGTCTATAAGTTGAGCTTTAGTAAACATAGGCCCATTCAATTTCCTTACGTACAAACTATTAGAAAAATCAAAGGTACAAGATTATCATACAGCCTTAGACATAGGTCCGTCAAGGATGGATATTCTCATCTTCCTTTTTCCCTCTCCACCCTACCCTTCTCTCACAGTTTTTTTTTCCTCTCTCTCTTTCTACATTTTTCTTCTTTCTCTCTCTACGACGATAAAATCTTAAACGTTCAAACATGAGGAAAGAGAAAGGAAGGGAAGTATAATATAATATATAATTTATAAATAGAAAACTAACGAAAATTCTTCAAAAACTTTAGTTTTTAATTAAAAGAACAAAATAAAGGTGCAAGTGAATAATATTAGGAGTGACTTTTTAAGATAAAAATATCCTTAACGTTAAAAGTGAACAGTACCGGGAGTGTTTCATTAAAATTCCCTTTATAAATTATATAATTTATAATTATATAACGTATACTTATAATATTCCAATAATTTGAAAATACAACCCTACTTATATTAGTATTGTAGTTGGTGACTTTGATCTCTTGAGTTGGTGGAAATCAAACACAAAAGAGCTTCCAATTCTTTCACAAATAGCCAATGATATCTTTGCAACCCCCACTTCTACCGTTGCTAGTGAAAATGTATTAAACCTAGGGAGGAGGGTTGTGACCCTTTTAGAGCATCATTGACTCCTAAAATGGTAGCAACACTAGTGTGTACTAGTGATTGGCTTGGGACGGATGAAGTAAATTTCTACAAGGAACCAACGGAACATATGTTTCAATTTTACAAGGAAATGAAAGAAGTGAAAACAAGTAAGATATATTTTAATTTTTTTAGTAAATTTATTATTAAACGGCTTTCAACTTTAATTCTTATTGCTACTAATATGTTTTCTTTGTTTATAATGTAGGCTTGACACAAGCTCAATCTTCTTTTTGCTACTAATATGTTTCCTTTTTTCAAATGTATGCTTGACACAAGCTCAATCTTCTACAACTTTAATGCCTCTTCCAAAAGCTTCAACATCTCAAACTTGAAGAATTGATCAATGAATTTTACTTTTTGAAGTTTAGTTCCAAATTTCATTTGGTTTGAAACTTTAACTTCTATTTGTTTTGGTTCGTAACTTCTATTTGGATTGCAAGCTTAATTTTCATCATGAATCTTGATGTATCATTTGAATTATTATGTGTGTGAATTGTAAATGATGAATAATTGATAAATTTAGACCACAATGTATCAGATAAAGGTACTAAAAAAAATAAAAAAAAAAGTTTTGCCATTGAATTGGGTTAAAAAAAATAAAAAAAAACTTTTTCCTAAAACAAAATGGCAATTACCATTATCATACCATGCAAACCGAATTATTTGGCAACACTGAACTTCAGTATGCTAAAATTTTGATACGATAATGATAATAGATTTTGTCGAACCGAAAATTTGATACGATAATTAGTCCAAGAGTTTTGATACGCTAACAGTGCCGAACCCACCCCCATGTGCACCAGAGGAGGTCCATTTCCTTGTAATCACACCATCACAGAGTCCTGGACATTTTTTTTGTCTTCTCCTTTTCCATGGTCGTACTCTTTTCGTGTTCATTTGCCCAGCAAAAAACCTATAAACTCCTTTAAAAACCCTGAATTTCAACCGGAGGACGAACAATTCCCGCCATTTTCCGCTTCTGGGTAAGCGTTAATTTCACTCCCCTGCAAAAAGTAGGAGTCTTGTGTTTTCGTGTTTTATTTTTGGAGTATTTTGTGATTGTTAGTGATGAAGAACTGCTGTGTGGGGCTAAGTGATTGTTTAAACTTTTGGGTATTTAGTTTTAGTCAAATTGGAGTAAACCCAATTTATTTTATGCTGAGTGATTAATTGGGCAGGGAAGATTTGTTTGCATGGTTGAATGGGATTGATGATTCTCAATTGTTTGATTTTTCAATTTAATTACTTTTTTTTTGTTATATTATTTGTTCAGTTTTTATGCACATTTTTCTCTATGTGTTTAATTTTTAATTTTTCCCGCCACACTTGTGTAAATTACTGAACTGGACAATAGTCAAATTAGATGTGATCACAGGTTGTAATTGTAAACCCCAATCTCCAGTGAACTGTCTTTGAGTGAGAGATCATCAATCTCAGGAAACCTGAAGGACAGTATGGGCTTCAAGCATCATGCATGGAAAATTTTGGAACAGTCCAAAATTTAGAGGGAAAGTATGATTTGGTGTATCATGTATCTAGCTAGAACTCATCACAACCATTTCGAGCATGCATTTGATACACCACATTGCATGTTGATACAATGCTTCAATTCACTCAAATTATATTACTTGTACATATACTATATAACAAAATTAAATTATAATCATTGACATCACAACTATTGTTAGCAATTGCATATAATATTTCACTAAACATATATATTTTGTAAATAGTGCTTTTACATGCATTTAACTGCAATTTTTTTTCCTAATTAAGCTTACTATATTGTTCTTTTGTTTCACAGGAAGACTGGGTTCTGTGCAGAGTTTTCTACAAAGGCAAGGCAGCAGAGAACAGCACCAAACTCAACCCCCATGACTTTACGTTGGAGACCACACCATGCACTGTTCCTTTAAATTTAGTTCCACCTCCTCCAACTTATGACCAAACAATGCCTTGTGTGTACAACCAAAACCACAACCAAAGCAACGCTTTCCTGAATCTCCTACAGCTTCCTCATCAGGAAAAATATACCAATTCCTCCGTCTCCGAATTAAACACGAAAAACGATGACGAATATGGGTTTCTATGGGACATGAATTTAGAAGAAGGCAGCTTCGACAACGGGGTGGCTCCAAATTTGGATGAGATGGGATTTCAGGTGGATGAGAACAGCATGGTTTTGCTCTAAATGAAGAAACATATTCCATACGTACTCCATATTAGACAGACATCCAATTTGTTGATTTGTGACATATATTTATATTTGTGGTCTATATATTATATATTTGGCTTGATTGGAGAAAAGGTTAAAGGTTTGTGCATGCTTAGTCTATATATGTGTTTAGGGTGTTTTTCTCCTCTTGTATACAGTCCTGCTGGCATTTGTATAAGTATCATCAATAATATAATTCTTTATTAGTGTCAAACATATATATTGTTGTTCGATTCTTTTAAGAAAGTTAAGATTTCAAACCATAAAACTAATTGATAATATAAGAAACAACTCTATTCCCTACGGAATGCAAGTTAGATTCCTTAATTTCCCAACATAATATTTACACTCTCAACATAATTCTCTTATAACACGTAATATTGAAACCATATATATCTCTTCATCAGTCGACAGTTTAGGTTTGCTGTATGCAGCAGTATATTATTCTTAATTTCTGGCACCATGGACCATGGCTGTATTGTCTGTTTATAATTATTGCTTGAAAACTTAAAACAATTTCCTTCTTTGTTCTGTATTGATTTTGACAGGACTGTCATGAGCGTAGCCCTACACAATGAAAGGTTCATACGAAAAATATACAAACAGATAAGTGCTAGGACAATGACTTAATAAATTTTATTCAAATATATACTTGAAATCATACATGTGCGTGTGTGTATATATTACATATAAAACTTAACGAATCTGGTAAACCCTCAAGATAGTTCAGATTAACGTACATGTATTCAACATCTACACACCAACAAATAATTATACATGACAGAACATCTGGTTTATCCCTCAGGAATCATCCTGTATAGTCGAATATACGTATTATTAGCTAGTATTGGATGCTCCTCTTTCGTTATCTTTTTGCTTTCATCCTCCTTCATATAGTGTCAAGAAGGTTGATGCGATTAGTCGTTCACTTACGCATATGCACGCATGATGTAGAAGCATCTGTTCTAAGAATCCCCGCCTAGGCGCTAAGCGGCTGGTCATCGCCCTGAGTAGTCCTTAGACGTTTAAAAATTAAAAAAGTGCACCTAGACCCGCTTAGGCATCTGTCTCACCTGCCTAGGTGCCGACCTAACCTGCCTAAACCCTCCTAGGCACCCGACTAGGTCGCAACTCTCACTTAAACAGAAAATCAACAACTTTCATTTTACATTTTATTTTGTTAATAAAATGTAAGAGACTTGTTAAATACTTGGATGAGCAATTATTATATGCTTGTTTCTAGTGTTTTCAATATGTCCTAATACTTCATAATATACATGTCATTTTATTTTGCAATTGATATATCACAATACAATTACATGTGTTTTAAATATAAATAGGCATCTTTTTATACAATATTATAATAAATCTACTTAAATCTGTCTAGTCTACCTAGACTCCCACCTAAACCCCGCTTAACTGCCCGACTAATGTCTAACATCTTTTAGAACCTCTCATGTCCCGTAATAAGAACCACATGCAACAAGGAGTAAGAAGGAGTCATATGCTCATATGCGACTAACCCAAGTAAATGTCAAAGAATACTTTATCAAAACTTAAAAAAATATATATGTGTTACCGCAGTTAGTGTCTATAAGTTGAGCTTTAGTAGACATAGGCCCATTCAAGTTCCTTACGTACAAACTATTAGAAAACTCAAAGGTACAAGACTATCATACAGCCTTAGACATAGGTCCGTCAAGGATGGGAATTCTCATCTTCCTCTTTCCCTCTCGGAACGGGATGCTCTCCTAATTTAAGGATGAGGATCTTCATGATCAAGGGATATGGGCCGTTGAATGAAAATCCAACGGCTACAAACAGGAGAGTTCCTTTAAAGTTATAATAATTATAACCGTTGGATTTTCATCCAACGGTCCACATCCTTTGATCATGAGGATCCTCATCCTTAGATTAGGAGAGGATCCTAATCCTTCCCTCTCCACCCTCCTCTTCTCTCACAGTTTTTTTTTTTTTTTCCTCTTTCTCTTTCTACTTTTTTCTTCTTTCTCTCTCTACGAAGATGAAATCTTAAATGTTCAAACATGAGGAAGGGAAGGGAAGGGAAGTATAATATAATATATAATTTATAAATAGAAAAACTAATAAAAATTCCTCAAAAACTTTAGTTTTTAATTAAAAGAATAAAATAAAGTTGAAAGTGAATAATATCAGGAGTGACTTTTCAAGATAAAAATATCCTTAACGTTAAAAGTAAACAGCACCGGAATTGTTTCATTAAAATTCCCTTTATAAATTATATAATTTATAATTATATAACGTATATTATAATATTCCAATAATGTGAAAATAAAACCCTACTTATATTAGTATTGTAGTTGGTGACTTTGATCTCTTGAGTTGGTGGAAATCAAACACAAAAGAGATTCCAATTCTTTCACAAATAGCCAATGATATCTTTGCAACCCCCACTTCTACCGTTGCTAGTGAAAATGTATTAACCTAGGAGGAGGGTTGTGGACCCTTTTAGAGCATCATTGACTCCTAAAATGGTAGAAACACTAGTGTGTACTAGTGATTGACTTGGGGCGGATAAAGTAAATTTCTACAAAGAACCAACGGAAGATATGTTTCAATTTTACAAGGAAATGAAAGAAGTGGAAACAAGTAAAATATATTTTAATTTTTGTAATAAATTTATTATTAAACAGTTTTCAACTTTAATTCTTATTGCTACTAATATGTTTTCTTTGTTTATAATGTAGGCTTGACACAAGCTCAATCTTCTTTTTGCTACTAATATGTTTCCTTTTTTCAAATGTATGCTTGACACAAGCTCAATCTTCTACAAGTTTAATGCCTCTTCCAAAATCTTCAACATCTCAAACTTGAAGAATTGATCAATGAATTTTACTTTTTGAAGTTTAGTTCCAAATTTCATTTGGTTTGAAACTTTAACTTCTATTTGTTTTGGTTCGTAACTTCTATTTGGATTGCAAGCTTAATTTTCATCATGAATCTTGATGTATCATTATATTATTATGTGTGTGAATTGTAAGTGATGAATAATTGATAAATTTAGATTACAATGTATGAGATAAAGGTACCAAAAAAAAAAAAAAAAGTTTTGCCATTGAATTGGGTTAAAAAAAATAAAACAAAATGGCAATTACCATTGTCATACCATACCATGCAAACCGAATTATTTAGCAACACTGAACTTCAGTATGCTAAAATTTTGATACGATAATGATAATAGATTTTGTCGAACCAAAAATTTGATACGATAATTATTACAAGAGTTTTGATACTCTAACAGGGCCGAACCCACCCCCATGTGCACCAGAGGAGGTCCATTTCCTTGTAATCACACCATCACAGAGTCCTGGACATTTTTTTTTCTCTTCTCCTTTTCCATGGTCGTACTCCTTTCGTGTTCATTTGCCCAGCAAAAAACCTGAAACTCCTTTAAAAACCCTGAATTTCAACCGGAGGACGAACAATTCCCGCCATTTTCCGCTTCTTGGATAAGCGTTAATTTCACTCCCCTGCAAAAAGTAGGAGTCTTGTGTTTTCGTGTTTTATTTTTGGTGTATTTTGTGATTGTTAGTGATGAAGAACTGCTGTGTGGGGCTAAGTGATTGTTTAAATTTCTGGGTTTTTAGTTTTAGTCAAATTGGAGTAAACCCAATTTATTTTATGCTGAGTGATTAATTGGGCAGGGAAGATTTGTTTGCATGGTTGAATGGGATTGATGATTCTCAATTGTTTGATTTTTCAGTTTATTACATTTTTTTTTTTTTGTTATATTATTTGTTCAGTTTTTATTCACGTTTTTCTCTATGTGTTTAATTTTTAATTTTTCCCACCACACTTGTGTAAATTACTGAACTGGACAATAGTCAATTAGATGTGATCACAGGTTGTAATTGTAAACCCCAATCTCCTTATTGGTATGTTTGGAACCAACGTGGTCATCCCTGTGTTTCTTTTAATCTTGTTGGCTTTCTTGAGCTAATATGTTCTTGTTAGTCATCCTAACAATGGTGCAACTTGTGTGAACTGTTGGACAATGATTACCTCTTCGATGTTTTCTCTGTACGCTATTTTAGATTGTGAATAGATGTATTCACCAATCACTTTGATGGGTATTTGATTTTCTTTTAAGTGATTTTTCAAATTTCACTTCTTTTTTGCAGTACCGTTGGTTGTAGAACACAGTAACAGCTTACCTACATTGTGAGAATATGGCACATAATTCAGTTCCTCCTGGTTTTGTGTCTCGTACATCCTTCATGCTGAAGAAACTAATAGTTCCAATGCCTTTGTTGATGCTTCTAATGAAGGGCCAGTCCAGATGGATACCGCGTCTGACCTGACTGACATGGATAAGTTGAAAAGACAAAGGCCATGGATACTTTTCGACCAAAGTGATCTCAACACCGAGGAATCTGAGTCTGAACACTTTAATACGGTCTATTCCTCTCTTCGTCCTTTGTGTGTGTGTGCTTGTGTGAATATTTATTTGCTGCTGTTAAACACATTAGTACATCAGACTTGAGTCTCAACCTGGTTATGTATGCTGCAAATACACTGCTGATTAGGAGCTTGTGTATGTGTCTAGAGAGGAACAACTCCAGGTTGCACGGTTCATAACCATCTTAGCTAAAGAAAAGAGTATTAATTATGCTTTGTATGACGATACCGAGGTTTTTTTTTCTGGGAGTAAAAAAGGATGCCAGGATTTAGTGCTTAGAGAAAACAGAATATTATCAAAAGTGGAGAAGTTGTATGTATCTTCGAAGTATTTGCTCTTATTCTGTTGACATGGCTGACACTTTTTTAAATGGGTAATCAATGTTCTCAAATATGTACTTGAAAATATCTAGGTCTTTGAACCTCATAACCTCCTTCCCGTTTAGGAAGAATGGTGAAGGGTGAGACTCAGTGCTCAATCCCCAGCTGGTGCATGTATTGTGTTCTTATCATTTGTCGAAAGGAAAAGTGTTGAGAGCTACTGTATGAAAATCTTACCACAGTAATAGTTTCCTGAAGTTATATACATTTTGCTTTTCAGGACCCCCCCACAAAATCTTGCCTTCCCAAAGGTGTTACTCATGGATGTCCAGATTGCAGTGGTTGCCTGAAGGTTGATTTTCATTCACTGAGTTGATTCTCTTCCCTTTGAATTGTATAGTTCTTAGGTACTAGTTTCAACTTTCAACCTTTGCATTTGTCTTTGATTTTCAAAAGTTACTACTGTGTCCAGTTCGCTCTTTTACATAATCTTTGTGAATTCCTGATGTAGGTGACAGGAAGGTGGCATCCTGAAGAGGCAAGAACATATGTCCTTGAAGAAGCACCTCTTTTCTGACTTTTACGACATTTTCATTTGTTCCAGGACAGACATCTTTGCCGAATCCTTTGTTTTAATGCTCAATTTTTGCTTATAAAATTTCAGTCCTTGAGTTTCTAAAGGAGTTTGGCTTTGTCCTGCAGGAATTTAAAGACACTCTTAAGTATGTTGCAAATATACGTGCAAGAAGCAGAGCAATGTGGTATATGTCGGATTATTCCTCCGCCCTCCTGGAAACCTCCATGTCTTATTAAAACAAAATATGGAAATGTTGTACATTTTCTACCCATATTCAGCGAATTGATGGGCTACGAAATCAGTATTCACCGAGTAAAATGGAAGCCGACTGAACATTCTTATGTCAAAGGTTTTGAACCAGAACCTGGACGAGAATTGGCTCTTGAGAATTTGAAGAGTTATGCAGCTGATTTCAAGCATCAATATTTCCGCAAAAGTGAAATCGCTGGTGGCCTAGATAAGTGGGTGCCATCACTAGAGAATATTGACGCTGAAAATCCAACTGAGGAAATTGAGGTGCGTTCATAAATTGGGGAGGACAACTTCGATATCTCATGATAAGCTACTGCTCGGAGCAGCTAGAGAGGCTGTGAAATCAAATTCAAATGATCATCCAACGAGATCCCTCGACTCTGCCACAGCCACAGGGAACGGTAGGGTTCGGTTGCTAGCATCATGGTAAAGGTGAAGGCGCATGCACCCCGATCAACAACCTTCAATGAACTGTTAATTTTTATTAACAGTCTGTTTTGCAACGAAGAACGGGCGTTGTGTCCAGAGAAGAACCGATAATCTTCGTATTAAATTGTACAACAAATGTAGTATATAAAGAATTATCAAATCATACATAGATAATGAATTACATGTTTCAGAGGCCAGCTGAAACCAATCCATGTAAAGTGACGATCCCAATCACTTGATTCTGATCATTGATGACCGGCAAGAACTGAACCGGCGACGGTGGCGCTTCCATCTTCTGCATGGCGTCAACTGCCATGGCGTCGGGACCAATTGTTCTGGGGTGTCTGTTGCACACTTCCCCAACCGTGAGCTTGAAGATAGCTTCCCCACTGGCCTTGAGAGTCCGCCGCAGATCTCCATCGGTGAACGTGCCGATCAGGCGGTGCTCGGCGTCGATCACAAGCAGGCAACCGCACCCCTTGCTCGTCAGCTCCACCAGCTGCTCCATTATCAGGTCCCCTTCCTTGCACACCGGAAGCTCGTCTTCCTTCTTCATTACATCTTTGACCTGCAAAATTCCAGAAATTAGAAGAAAAGAAAAAACCTAAGATTGGATTGAAGATGATTGAAATTGGGGAAAAAGCAAGATCGGACCTTGAAGATAAGGGATTTGCCGATCCTGCCGGCGGGGTGATTGGCGGCGTATTGTTCTTTGGTGAGACTTTTGGCGCCCATGAGCGCGATCGCGACGGTGTCGCCGAAGACCATTTGGATGGCGGTGGAGGTGACCGGAGCCAAATCGAAGGGGCAGAGCTCTCGCTCCACTGGCAAATGCACGTTCATGTCGCAGAGGGAGGCAAGGGCATTGCCGTCAACGGAGGTGACGGAGATGAGGAAGGCGCCTTTGGCCTTGGCGCAGGGGACGAGGCGGAGGAGCTCCTCGGTGGTGCCGGACTTGCTGAAGAGGACCAAAACGTCGGTTTTGGAGAGGGCGCCGATGTCGCCGTGGAGGGCGTCGAGAGGGGAGAGAAAGCCGGAGCGGATGCCGAGGGAGACGAGGGTCTGGGAGATCTTGTGGGCGACGAAGCCGGACTTGCCTACGCCGGAGAAAAATATAGTGGCGCCGGCGGATGATTGGAGGAGGAGGGTGCGGGTGAAGGCCAGTGTCTGGGCAGGTCCAGGTGCTGGAAGAAGAAGTTGAGGTGGCTCTGTTGGGATTTGAAAAGGTTTAGGAGGGTAGTTTCGTCAATGCAGGAGGAGGCGGAGGAGAATTGGGTGGTTGTTGTGGTGGTGGTGGTGGTGGTTTTGGTATTGGGAGGAGAATGCGGATTGATGAAATCTGAGAAAAAAGGTGGCAGAGAACCCATGGTTGATGATTTCTGTACTCCTCTGCTTCCAGAGAGAGAGAGAGAGAGAAGAAGGAGATCTACGCCTGGTGTCGGTGGCGCTGAAATCAGAATAAATTAATAATTTGGAGAGAAATGTCTACTTTCTGCGGGTGTGAAATTATGGGCCTCAAGTTTGGTTTTGGTTGGGCTTCAAATTGAACTTTTCAACAAGGCCCTACGTTCAAATTTTCAGTCTAATATTGGGTGGGTTTTTTACAATATTAGGCCCAATTTCATCTGATCCAATACACAAAGTACAACTGTGCAAGACAATCCTATGTTCTTCATTCATTGGTAATGAGAGTGCATTTTATTTAACGAAAACTAACTAACAGTCCAAAAATACCAAAATACAAAAATATCCATTCCACTTTCCACAACCCACTAGAAAAACTAGAAAAAAGAAAAGAAAAATACACGTCAACCCAAACATAACACTAAAACCCAAAAAGTAAAAGAACCCGAAACCGGTAAAACTAAGAAACCATCTATTTAAATTACATGACGTAGTTATTAATAATTAAATTATTACTTAGATCTTGATTAACGTACTTATTTTTATTGGTTATCCATCGTATGATTTGTAAATTTGATTTACCTAACATTATTCAACCCTAACATCACATCTTAGACCCACACAGCTGCCACCGGCGCTGCAAAAGAACCCCACCGCTGTAGAAACAAGTCAAAAGATAAGGAAAGGAGCAGTCATGCGAAAATGAAGACATCGTCACGCATACGCTTTCAGATCTGGTGGCAGGTGGCGAGTATAGGGGAGCGCAAGGCGGAGCAAGTGGATGATTGAGGGCCAAAGCAATAGGCAGAAAATCTTTGGCTGAACGAGGTGAGGATTTTGATGGAGGCAAAAGAAAAGGAGAGATGAAGACACCACTTAAGCTGAAGAGGCCGGCCCTCGAATCAAAACAGGGATGGGGATGGGAGAAAGTCTAGAGAGAAGGTGGAGCCTCCCTCTAAGACAATCCTTTCTTTAGAAATTTTTGTACTAAAGGACCGTCACATGCATGAATTTGCTACATCCATCACATTGCATGAATAAGAACAATACATGATTGTTAGTAATCTCATACCTGATTGTTCATGTATAAAATAGAGATATTAATGTCCGACAATCGTGTTTATTTCTTCTATTAGTAAACATATGTTATAAAAGGGTTAAAGTTTGAGAGATAACCTTTTAAGTGGTAGGTGCAAGGTAGATGTAAAATGCCACACAAAAACTATAGTACAGACATATAATAAAAGGCAGAGGAATATATGATGTTATTGATATTTCTCTCTTGTTTTTCTTCTTCATCTATATTCTGTTACATGCGGAGTGCTCTATTTATAGAGCAACTCGAACTGATGCAGTTAATGCATCTTGAAATTTAAAACGTACCTCTGACACTTTCATTCAGCATGGGTATTGAAAACTTTGCCCATGCAGATGACTTTAGCTTTGTGGGCATTCATTGCCAAAGACATTGAGACTGTGTCTGAGACTTTTCAACACTCCCCCTTGGATGCCCACATATCAACATGAGTTGCCTCGTTAAAACCTTGCTTGGAAAAACCCAGTGGGAAAAAAAAAACCATAGCGAAGGAAAAAGAGTACAACTTTTCCTGTATCGTTGATATAGTGTCAAGTATGCTTATGTTGCCTCGTTAAAACCTTGATAGGAAAAACCCAGTGGGAAAAATCCTAATCAAAGGAAAAAGAGTACAACAAGCACGTATCATGGATACTCCCCCTGATATGTTTCTCCCCCTGATTCCACATTCTCCAAATTTAGCTGTTTGGTAAGTCGACGTAATCCGATGCCTTGCACTAACTTCTGAAATGTGCACTTTGGTAGAGATTTGGTGAACAAGTCTGCCAGATTTTCATTTGAACGGATTTGTCTGACTTCAATAACTTTAGCCTTCTGAAGCTCATGAGCACTGAAAAACTTTGGAGATATGTGTTTAGTCTTATCGCCCTTGATGAATCCTTCCTTCATTTGGGCAACACAGGCTGCATTATCTTCATGGATGACAGTTGGATTGTCTGTCTTCGAAGTTAGATCACATAAATTCCGGATATGATGGATCATTGATCTTAACCAAGAACATTCACGACTTGCTTTATGTAAAGCAAGTATTTCTGAATGATTTGAAGATGTAGCAACTAATGTTTGCTTGGTTGAGCGCCATGAGATTGCTGTATCTCCATTCTTAAACACATATCCAGTTTGTGAGCGGGCTTTATGCGGATCAGAGAGGAAGCCAGCATCTGCATATCCAACAAGGACCTGGTCATCTGTGGAGTTCTTTGAGTAGAAGAGACCCATGTCTGTTGTCCCACGAAGGTATCGCAATACATCTTTGATACCCTTCCAATGGCGAATTGTTGGAGCAGAGCTATACCTTGCTAACAAATTAACTGAAAAAGCTATATCTGGTCTAGTACATTGTGCTAAATACAACAAAGCACCTACTGCACTTAGATATGGTACTTCTGGACCAAGGACCAGCTCATCATCTTCTTTTGGACGAAATGGATCTTTCTTAATGTCCAAAGAACGAACGACCATTGGCGTGCTTAGTGGATAAGCCTTGTCCATACCAAATCGCTTCAGAATTTTTTCAATGTAAGCTGATTGGTGGACCAAAATTCCACTAGCACAATGCTCGATCTGCAGGCCGAGACAATATTTTGTTTTTCCAAGGTCTTTCATTTCAAATTCGCTTTTCAGATATTCAGCAGTTTTATTGAGCTCTTCAGGAGTCCCAACTAGATTCATATCATCAACATATACAGCCACTATAGCGAATCCAGAATTGGATTTCTTAATGAACACACAAGGGCAAATAACATTGTTGATATACCCTTCTTTGATCAAATATTCACTGAGACGATTATACCACATTCGTCCAGATTGCTTCAGACCATACAATGATCGCCTTAATTTGATCGAGAGCATACCTCGTGGTTTATTACTTGTTTCAGGCAACTTAAGTCCTTCTGGGACTTTCATATAGATGTCAGTATCTAATTCTCCATATAGATACGCAGTGATGACATCCATAAGTCGCATGTCAAGTCTTTCTGAAACCACTAAACTTATTAAGTAACGGAACGTAATTGCGTCCATTACAGGAGAGTATGTCTCCTCATAATCAATTCCAGGTCTTTGAGAAAAACCTTGTGCAACGAGTCGTGCTTTGTATCTTGCGATCTCGTTTTTCTCGTTGCGTTTCCTTGTGAATACCCATTTGTAACCCACGGGGTTTACACTAGGCGGGGTTTGGACTACTGGTCCAAAAACATTCCGCTTTTCCAAGGAATTTAATTCTGCCTGGATTGCATCTTTCCACTTAGGCCAATCCTGTCTCTGTTTGCATTCATCAACAGAGCGGGGCTCAATATCATCACTTAAGATGATTTCAGTGGCTACTGCAAATGCAAACATATCATCAATGATTATTTCATTCTGATCCCACAATTCATTTGTACATGCATAATTTATGGAGATTTCTTTGCTTTCATGTACTTCTGTCTCTTCAGGGACAGATGTCTCATCAAGGACATTTTCTTTTTTCGGAAGTCTAGAATTATGAATTGTGGATGTATCATTCATTTTCTCTTCCTGAATGATTTCATTTGGATTCAGTTGTGCCCT